AGACAGACACGGACACAGACATACGGAGACACAGACAGACACAGAGACAAAAACAGAGACAGACACGGACACAGACATACAGAGACAGATAGTGACACAGACACAGACACAGACGGATACACAGACATAGACGGATACACACACAGACATACACAGGCATACACAGACATACACAGATACGGACACAGACATACGGAGACACCTACAGACACATTCACAGACACAGACGGATACACAGACATAGACGGATATACACAGACATCGACGGATATACACAGACATACACGGACATACACAAACATACACACACATACACAGACATACACAGACATACACAGACATACGCAGACATACACAGACATACACAGACATACACACAGAGACATACACACACAGACATACGCAGACATACACAGACACACACRGACATACACACACATACACACACAGACATACACACACAGACATACACAGACATACACAGACAGACATACACATACACAGACATACACAGACATACAGACATAAACAAACATACACAGACATACACAAACATACACAGACATACACACACAGACATACACAGACATACACACACAAATGGTACACAGACATACACAAATAGACACAGATAGACACGGGCACAGACATACAGAGACACAAACACAGACAGACACAGACACAGACACAGACACGGACACAGAGATACAGAGACACAACCAGAGAGAGAGACAGACACAGACACAGACAGACACGGACAAAGACATACGGAGACACAGACAGACACAGAGACACAGACACAGACGGACACAAAGACAAACACAGTCAGACATGGACACAGACATACGTAGACACCTTCAGACACAGACACAGACACAGACACAGACGGATACCAAGACATAGACGGATATACACAGACATAGACGGATATACATAGACATACACGGACATACACAAACATACACACACATACACAGACATGCACACACAGACATACACAGACATACACAGATATACACGCACATACACAGACATACACAGACATACACGGACATACACAGACATACACACACACAGATATAGACACAGATACAGACACACACACACGAAAGATAGAGAGATAGACATAGATACAGACACACACACATACACACACACAGACACAGACACACACACACACACACAGACACATACAGACACATACACACATACACACACACATACACACACAGACACACACACACACAGACACACACACACACAGACACACACAGATACACACACACACACACACACACACACACGCACACACTTGGCGGAGGACTATTCCGTCTTAGGTAAGTTGTAGTCTGCCCTCCATGGCTTTATGAATGAATGGTTCGTGGCCCTGTGATATGTACAATGCTTCACACGTATGAAAAAGGGGGGCCGGGGTGCTTGGGGGGAACTTGTCAGTGGGCCGCGGAACACCCCCTACGGTTGCCAAACCAATGGGGAGCGGTTTGGGTGGAGAGTAAGAGCAGGGAGAGAGGAGTTGACTACTGC